CTGGTGCGTCTAGATAAGCCATACAGGAGGGGGGGGTCTTATTGATAAGGAAATAAGTGTATTATGAAATACCCAGAACTTATGATTCACTGTCAAATGCGTAGATGCGTCCCTGACACTGATTGATAGTCTTTTCTGCCAACTTCTTACATAACATGCTTCCAGAAATGACCTTATTTAAAGATGAAATGTGAAATACCAAACCATCTGCTCCAAAGAAATACAGAGACATTAATAGTTCCATACATACATTAATGTATATACTGTATACAAACCCCAATTAAATGAAGTTGGGACGTTGTGTAAAACATAACTAAAAACAGAATACAATGATTTGAAAATCAAAAAACTTGAAATGATTCACTAATTTTGAATGTGATGCCTGCAACACCTTTACTGTACGTTCATGCGAATGTCAGTGGGCGACATTAGCACTAAATGGTTCTCCGACCCATTAACGCTGTGGTTCTAGATACAGTGAACCCCCTACAGATGAGTGGACGTCATGGTAAAATATTATATAGTTGGTATCAGTGAAATGTATAATCTACAATAAAATCTCGTTTGAAATTATGTTACGATGTCATAAATTACTGACAAGTCACGTGTTTCCTGCCTGGCCGCAGAAATCTTTGCCCGTGTATCATTACCCTCTCTCGTCTGGGGCGCTAAGAAAAGAGCCCAAGTAAGTGCAGCAGCAGCCAACCAATTGCTGACTGTTGCGACCTGAAAACTATGCAGGCAAAACATAATTTCAGCCAATCAGCGTCGTCACATCTGATGGTCAAAGGGCGCTAATTTCAGTGCCCAAGGCAGTCTGTGAGTTGATTGAACTCGTATCCAAGGTGACGCTACAGTAGTTGATGAAGATGGCTGCTGGTGCAGGCACTTCTGGAGACTCCGGACCTCGGTCCCCACCCAATTCCGTCCAAGAGCTGTTATCCAATCCTTTCGAAAGGAGAAGTTTGGGAGAGAAATTGTTGGTTAAAGACCTTGGACCGGACCAACCCGATTTGTCTATATCACAGCAAGCTCGTGAAAAAAACAAGAGTTATCAACGAGGCTTCTCACGTAGCTGGTACACAAAAAAGGCCTGGCTAGCTGGATGCAAACAGGTAAACGCTGTCTTTTGTTTCCCATGCTTACTCTTCAAACAGCCGGGGACAGATACTATGTGCCCGTGGACTGTGACGGGGATAAATGATATGAAGCATTTGTCCGAAAAAATTAAAAAGCATGAGTGCACGAAGGCACACATGACAAGTGCCGTTAAGCTAGCCATGCTTGGCAAAGCTAACATAGCCACGCAGCTAGATCAAGGGTACAGGATTGCTGTGAAAAAGCACAATGAAGAAGTGGACAAGAACAGGCACGTCTTGTTGAAAAGAATTGATTGTGTGAAATGTTGTGGGGTCTTTGACCTGGCTTTGCGTGGCCACGACGAGACTGATCCGACAACCCCGGCGTTTTTCGGGGTTTAGTTGATCTAGTGGCCTCGTTAGATAGCATGTTGCAGGAGCACGTTAAAACGGCTACCGTTTTCAAAGGCACCTCAAAGATGGTGCAAAACGAACTTTTGGACTGCATGTTGTCAGTTTCTAAAGATTACATTCTGGAGGAAGTAAAAAATGCTAATTATCTAGCTATTCAGGCGGATGAGACAACTGACATTTCCACCCACTGCCAGTTAGTGCTTGTGCTACGCTACATCGACCCGCATAACAACGTCCAAGAGCGTTTTTTTGAGTTCATCCCCCTTCAGAATGCGAATGCTGACACAGTTGATGGAGAGGCTGGGCACTATCTTTCCCGATGGACAACAGGGCAAAATAATCGGCCAAGCATATGACGGTGCAGCGGTGATGAGGGGAGCTAAAGGTGGAGTTCAGCGGAAAGTAAAGGATGTGTACAGTAGTGCGCACTACGTCCACTGCTATGCGCATCAGCTGCCTGAACCTCATTATGTCTACAGCACAGGACTCATCGAGAGGTTCACCAGCAGCATTCAAACAATCAGGTAAATCATTATTTACAATGGCTGAGAAATGCTTATTATAGGACATCTGTGAAACCTAAATGTGATTTAGCTGAACACAATAAACCAACTCACATACTTATTTAAATATCTTAAACAGTCTTATTGGAAATGTATATATTATATCATGTTTATAAGGTGTATTTCTGATTACTATTTCAAATAGTCAAACCTAATTCTTGCCACAATGAGTAATTGTACGTGGTTTGGATCAGGGACTCCATTCCTTCTGGTGAAAACAGTGGATCTGTGCAGCAGCCGCCCACAAAGAAACGGAGGGCACTTGGACATGAAGAGCAACAGCTGTTGGCTAGAGAGGTAAGCAGTAATAGGAACGTGTTCTATGACCAAAAGCTCCTTTCATAATATAGGTAATTTCACATCACAATAATGATCCATTTCACAATAAAGCCCATTTTCTGTCAATTCAATAAATAGGTAGGCTAGTTAAAATATCCACATGGAAAGGCCTATTGCTTATTACATTCTGAATTGTATACACTTAACAAGGCCTAAACTGCAAAAAGTGTCCCACAGTCTCTACATTTCAAAGGAGATCAAGACAGATCAGAAAAGGTTTAGGCTTCCAGAAGCAACCACAGTGGACAGAAAGGGCCCAACAATGAATGAATGAAGTGCAAACATAGTCATTAAATGTATATATTGTAGTGACTTAATTTTAAACAGTAATATTGTTCTGTTGATGCTCAGATAGCTGTCGTGTTATTCTGATAGGTTCCATTCACATGAAAGCTTTTGTTTGTTACACATCTTATAAGGGGACACGAATGACATCATGACTGATAGATGTGAAAAGGTGATTCTGTTATTTATTATGTCTTGATTTTTTCATTGTGCATTATTTCATAGGTATGTGATACCATACTGAGTCACGCAAAGGAGACATTTTCCTTCACCAAACACCTCATCAGCTCCACCCTCCTGCAAGGACACCTGTTCCAGCAACACAGCCGAACATTCCCTGAAGCAGCGCTGGAAACAACTGTGGAGGCCTACCCTCTACTGGACAAGGCAAAGCTCAAGACGGAACTGTCCCTCGTCTAAGACAATGACCAGTTCAGGGCTTGCAGTGGTGACACAGGATCGCCTGAATGCTCTGGCTATGCTGTCAATCGAGAAAAAACTCATTAGGAGCATTCCTGACTTCAATACCAGAGTCATTGAGAGGTTTTCCACTCAGAAGGAGAGAAGGGCAACATTCCTTTAGAAATAAACACACACTCACACACACACACACACACACACACACACACACACACACACACACACACACACACACACACACACACACACACACACACACACACACACACACACACACACACACAAGCTCATAGATGTGTGCACTTGATCCACTATTTCAAATGGGAATAGAGCAGTGTGATTTATGGCTGGCTGAGTGAGGTGTCCAGAGCCTCCTTTCCTTTTCTAGTGAGGCTCTAAAAGTGGAGCCTGTGGTGTTTTTTGTGCTTTCAAATAACAAACATTATCTTTCTTATCAGACACATTTTGCCTGTGTAAAGCCCGTGTATAAAAAAGGTGTGTATGTGCAGGATTATGTATCTCTCCTACCCACTGTGTGGGAAATGCCGTAATGTATGGATGTATGTGTGTGTGTTTGTGTGTTTGTGTGTTTATGTGTATTCTCAAAGGGACACATTCAATTTATTTCCTTCTTTTCCTCCAGATGTTGTAGTTCTCTAACCGGCCTGTTGAGGGCATCCTCTGCCTTCCTTAAACCTAAAGATCTCCATCTCTCTCACACACACACACACACACACACACACACACACACACACACACACACACACACACACACACACACACACACACACACACATATAATGCTCATATTTGGCTCCTGATTTTAAATAGGGAATTAAATCATTTGTGAGTGTTCCCAAAGCACCGGTGTTCTGCAGTTTGACAGATTTAAATGCTTGAGAAGTTAAAATGGTAGTGATTACTTTTAGTTAAAGTGGACCTATCATGCTATATTTGAATAATATAGTGTAGGACCATACCTATATAAGGCATATTTATACTTTTTTTTCAAAATACCAAACAGATCATGCATTTTAGCCATGCCTCATTTCGCTCAATTTGCACTTTTTTACCCGTGTTTGCAAGGGTTGATTCTGTGAGAACAGCACCATCTAGAGGCCTGACATATGTACTACAGCGTCTCCAGCGCTTTCGAACGGCAATGGCCGTGGCTGTCTCCTCCTGATTGGTGGAGTTGGCCCAATAGCCGTAGCGCCACCGTCCTGACGTCAGGACAGTGTTCAAATCTGGATCAGTTTTTATCAGATCCGTTGCAGCCCCTTTTTTAGAGATTTGGGTATGGAGGAAAATAGAGAGGGTTGTGTTTTCTGACACTTGGTGAGTTCCCTGGAACACCGGGGACACATATTCATGTATACAAGACGTACACAAGTGCATTTTGAATGATAGGTCCCCTTTAAATGTTTCACTTATTGAAAACCACAACTCGAGTATCAGGATGGTCTTTATCTGGAAAGTTATCCACATCTCATCACCACGTTGTCACGGCGACGAGAGAGCGCTGCTCTCATATAATTCCAATGGGTATGTTAACTTTCTATTCTTGTGTGTTTTTGTATGTTTTGAGCTGGGGTGCCAACTCATCATACAATGTTCAAAACAACAGATAAAGCCAGAAATCAGTATATCTGAAATTACTATTAGCTACGTTAGCTAGCTAGCTTACAGCATATCTGTTATTAATTTGAGTGACGTAATATTGCAAGTAAAATGAAGGAAAAATAGAAATATACATTTGAATTAAAGTACAGTTAAATAAGCTCAGTCTTCTATAAGATATATAAATATACTACTTATAATCTAAAAAATATACTAAACCTATAATATACGCACTTACATTTGTATTGAACCATTCTACTTCAACAAAAGAAGCACGACCTTTTGAGAATCAAACTTTATTTATGTAGCACAACATCCACAATGTCATCAGAAAAGAAAAGACAAAGACAATAAAACCCATAATTAGGTTAAAAAAGTTATAAACGCTGTGAAATTCAACTCACAATATAAACGATCCATGTGACAAAAGTAATAAAGATACATCTGTGGCTCAGAAGTCGGTAGGACGGTGGTTCGATTCCCAGTGCCTGCAGTCATCAAGCAAGATACTGAACTCCAAATGCCTCCCGATGTCAAAGATTGTCTGGATTAGAGTTTCCTCAAGATCCTCAAGAAGAAAGTCAAATTGTATTTAGAAAATTACTTTGCTTTCCAAATCAAAAAACAAGATGCTTTTATTATTTGTCTCAGGAGTGATGAGACTACCATTATTCATATACTGGCTGTGATTAAGAACATGATTTTCAATGGATCTGCCCTACGAACTAACTTGTAGTTATTGAGAGAAACTTCACAATCAGTAAGGAAGTGCTGAAGAATTGTAACAGCATCCACATAACAGGACACAACAGAGTCATCAGCATAGAGAACAGTCACTTAGTATCATCTTCACAAGGATTAAACAGAAAGGGCCCCAGGATAGAGCCCTGTGGAACACCTTTTGCAATTTGCAGGTTAATATGGGTTAATAGGGTCATTTATTTGGTGTTAGAGGTCAGCACATATATACCCTAAATGTGTTGCAAGCATCAGAAGGAAGACTAACCCTGATCATAACAGAAACATCTAAATAAAGTCTCTTTAGAAAATGATTAACAGCCGAAAGAAAACTATATGGACCAAAAGAAAGTTGCCTGCAGTGTTTCCTTCCAGTGTGAGATCACAGGCATCTAATGGAGAAACCAAAACAAAATATTTAATTAGTCATTCTGAGGGTTTTAGAGAAAAGATATATGAACATATTTTACATAAAATGCATGAAAAATTACTTACACCAGTTTAGATCTCTACTTTCCGGTATGCTTCTTCACCTCACTGAGGGATGTGAAGTCTCCAGTCTTCACATCACTGAATAGTTGTTGGTCTGGATTCACCAGAATGCCGTCCCTGTAGAAGTAGAGGGTTGCTCCTTTGAATTTCTTATTTTCAATGGCTGCTATGAGGAAGGAAAGAGGCGGATATTCTGCTCTCATAAAGCCCATGAAATCGTGGGTTTTTTGTCTCATCTTTATTAAGACGTCGTCTGAGTAGTACCATGGCTCCTCTTCAGTGCTCGCGCATTTTAGTGAGTTTAGGTATTGATCCATCGCTTCAAGGCCGGAGTCAGCACTCTCCATGGAGGTGAAAACAAAGCACAGAACTTCGTCGTTTCCAAGAACCTCTCTGTCCAGTTCAGACTGGTTTGGGACGATCTTAACACCCTTCATGATATCCACACAATACCTGATGACGTTGATTTCTCTCTCTTTGTGATCCAGCCACTTGGTTAGTTTTTCATGGCTGAATGGTGACGTGTGCCTGGCTTCAAAGACTTCTTCCAGTGAGCTCTCATCTTCCTTTCCTTCTCGGATGGAGGGAATTGTCTCTGTCATGGCTCGCTGGAGGCTGGATTCATAATAACCACACAGTTTTTGGAAAGTGCTTAGGTCTTTTCGGATCTTTGGGAAGTGCTCTTCCACTTTGTCTCCCAGAGAATCATTGCATCTCATTCTGATTTCCTTTAAATCTTCCAGAACATCTTGGGCTTTCCTCACTAGTCCGATGCTGATCCCCGTCATCAGCTCAGGAGCTTTGGGATCAAAACTCTTCAGCGGCATCAGCCAGACCGTCACTGGGACCGAATTCTCTCCATTTGTTCCCAGTAGCTGTGGAAGTTCTACATAGGTATGCACTGCATCTTTAAAGGTTGCTGGGTTGCTTTTAAGAATGAAGTCTCCGTAGAATTTGCAGGAGAATTTGTCAGTCAGGTCATTCTCTGCAGCCGTCAGCTTGATGTCAACTTTCCCCTCAACATCAAAAGAAGGAATCTTCTTTATCACAGCTTGCATGCTGCCCTCTATCTCCTGAACCTGGCTGGCTTCTAACTTCTCACTGTCAAACACAAAGAAAGCATTTGCCCCATACAGGATGCCTGTGACTACATGAGTCGCTGAGCCCTTCTCAATAACCTCCATCTGTTCGGTGTCCAGGGTCACATGATCAATTGACAACTGCTTGAAGTTGGTGGTAGCTTTGTACTGACAGGTCACTCTGCTCTGATTCTTGAATTTCTTCTGATCATTCAGATATTTGGCAGATCCTTCAACTTCTATCAGTCCACACAGGAAACTGGCCTTCAGAGAAGCTTCAATGTCCATCATGGTGGACTTGGATTCAATGGAGTCAGATGCAGAGATTTCAAAAGAACTGCTGTGCTGAGGGGTTTCAGTTGTTTTTACTTCTAGTGTTTTATCATTCCACAATCTGGGACCTAAACAAATTGGAAAGAAAACAGTTTATGGATCAGTTCAGGGCAAAAATTATAATAAAACTTATAATTTCAAAGCTTTACAGGTTGCAGCTTGATATCCTGCCAGGAGATAAACAAAGTGTGTGTGTGTGTGTGTGTGTGTGTGTGTGTGTGTGTGTGTGTGTGTGTGTGTGTGTGTGTGTGTGTGTGTGTGTGTGTGTGTGTGTGTGTGTGTGTGTGTGTGTGTGTGTGTGTGTGTGTGTGTGTGAGAGAGATATGGGGCAGGACCTTAATCTGACAACACCGAAAAATGAACTTTTTGTTAGATATCAAAAAATGTTTCACACGTGTCCATTTTACTCTTCTTTACTCTAGCATTCGATATTTAAGAAATCTAGAGTACAGAGGAGATGTAACCTAAAGTGATTTCCTTTTTTCAGTTCTGAGATTAAAGACTTTCTGATAAAAAATCTAATTGTACAAACACAAAAAAAGACCCCAAATAAAAAATCGTCTTCTGTACTCTAGCATTCCATTTAAAGGTAGGGTAGGTAATTTTGGAGAAACCGGCTCGAGTGCGCTAGAATTTGAAAATACACAACCGGAAAAATCTGCCACTTCCTTACAGAGCCCCTCCTCCAACACACACGAACGCGCACATGACCAATGAGGGCACGAGATAAGTTTGTGCACAGATGGAAGGCTGACAGGCAGGTAGGCCATCCAGTTATTTTAGCCGGGCCGGCTCAAATGATTGGTCGTGCTTTTTACAGTACCACAGCTTCCACAGATGATATTTTTTATGGATTTTTTGTCAAAGCACTTCAGATATTCATTGCTATCGGGATGTTAAGAGCATTCCATGGAATATAACAAAAAGTGTATCTCGAGCCGGTTTCTCAAACTTACCTACCCCACCTTTAATATCACAATTTCGACTTTTTCTCAGAATTCTGACTTTATTCTCAGAGAGCCAGAAAGGCATTGTTGTCCCTGGGCAGGCAATAGTTAAAGGCAGAGACTTACATGTAAGGTGAAGTAAGGGATAATGTGCAGCGAGGCGGTCATTAGTAAAAAAACAACACCCGACCCGCTGAACAAGATCCCTCCGCTTTGCGTCGGGCTCCCTGATCACTCTGAATAATGCCGCCTCGCTGCACATTATCCCCTTATTACACGCCCACACGCTAACACACTAACGACTTGACTCCCAATATTAATTTAAATGATTTTATTGACTTGAAAATGATCGTATTTCTTCCTCTAAGAAAGTAAACTCCGCTCCACGGCGCACTAACTGATGGAGCTCCGACAACAACAAGTGAATTTAAAATGAAGGCATCTCTGATCAATGTTCTCTGTCCAAGTCTGTTCAGTTTCCACAAACAAGTCCTTAAACACTACAGAGCCCATACCGTGTTCCTGTTAGTATTTACTTCCTGTCTGTCTGCTTCAGTTCATTTATTTGACTTCCAACGCTCTGTCTTTTAACCTCTTTCTTTCTCTCCCTTGATCCTCCTCAGCAAAGCTCATTATTTTGCTAAGCAGTGGTTTGTTATGGAGTATCAATAACCTCTGAAATGTTCTTATTGACCAATCAGAATCAAGTATTCAACTAAGCCATGTAATAAATGCATAGAAAATATAATCTACGGACAAAAGCAGTGAAAGAATATTCCCGATATGCACAGATGCACGACAAAGAGACAAAGAAACAACTCTCATAACACGCAACATTTAAAATGGCACGACGACAATCAAAAGATAACTTAATAAAATCATGTTAGGCCTGGTTAATTGTTGTTGTACAGTGATTATGATGAAAGCTTTGTGACTATGTGAAGTCTTACCTGGGACCAGTTTATCACTCCGAGCATCATAGAGCATCCCTAGGGTGAAAGGTCGTCCCAGAGCAGCAACGGTCATGTGATCTGAGGCCATTTCTCCAACCTGTTGAGAAGAAACAACACAGACTTCAGAAACTGATTTAAACGTCTGTTAAGGAGTAGGAGTGTTGAGAGTTAATAACACTTGGAGTCTGACTCTCAACTCTGCTTAGTAATGCAGTATATCCCTGCAGACACTAATCTAGCAGCTGTAGTTTTACACAGAAAAGTACAGTTTTTATTATAAATCTGTGTTTGTCAGTTAGTCCTCACCTGGTGAAGTTGTGTAGATCAGCAGAGTTGTGTGAGAGTCTTCTGACTTCCAGCAGGAGCTTCAAGTCTGATGGAATGTGGTGTTGTGAGGTGACTTATATTCTGTCAGATACTCTCCTCCCCTGACGTCCTGTTCTCACACCTGAACACACCTGTGCAAACAGTTCTTATTGTGACAGGTCTTGGCAAGAACAAGGAATATTGTGCACGTAGACACAAAAATACGGTGGGCTCAGACTAACATTTCACTCTCTTACTGTTACATAAATCCCATGAATTTATGAAATGTAGTTAGCCTCATCATATCTCATCAAACAGAGATACTATTTTAGTGTAATATAATTTTTTGTGAATAATAAAGTTTTGTTTTTTAATATCAAGCATTATTTAAGAAGGCTATATTTTATTTGAATTCAGCAATAATATTTTAATAGTCTGAAAGCCAAGACTTTGAGAACCCCCTGTCCCAGATCCTGCTGTGTTAATATTGTGTATACTAGTGTATACTATACTATCACCTGTCGCTCACTATTTCAGGAAGCAGTGAGGGGGGGCGTTGAGGAGGAACAGAGTGAGAGGGGGGGGGTGGGATCGCGGAAGTTTTCCTCCTTCCTTTACAAACTTTACACAAGTATATAAGTATTTATCGTCTGAATATAGCAAAAAGCCGTTCACTGGAGTTGCTTGTCTCGGTTGCTGAAGCAGACTTTGCTCCGTGTTTGGTGTCTCTGTGCCGCTGTAACTTCTGTTCCTTCAGCTCTGTGTCACTCACACACTGGTCACTGCCTCAGAGTGCCGCTGCTGATAGGAAGTCGCTTCAGTGCGCATGTCACAAAACGAGATGCATTTTGGGACATGTAGTTTATGGGCCGTATAATAAACTGTTTATTCTTTGCGAGCTCTCGCGGGCCTAATAAAATGAGGTCGCGGGGGCCTTGAGTTTGACACCCCTGCCCTAAAGGGACAACAACAAAAAGTCGGGATAACGAGACACTAACCCGTTATCCTGAATTTTTTCTCTCTTTTTTTTTTCTTTTCATATCATTTTCATTTTGCACATGAAAAAGTCTAATATATCATATTCCAATCACTTGTATATAGACTCTTATTGCACTATTTCATGCATTTACTATTTTTCTTTTTGTATTTACTTGCAGAATTGTTTTCAGTTTTTCAGTTTTATTGTGTTGCACTGTTGGAGGAGCCTGTGACCTAAGATTTTCATCGTCATAACTACACTGTAGCTATGTACGTATGACAAATAAAAGCCTTGAACCTTGAACTATTTGAATGAAACATGCAAACACCAGTTAGAAACTAATCAATAACAGTATAGTGCCGTACAACAACACTGACTTTTTATGTTTTTTTTGTCAAGGCCATTATATTGTTGTGGTTCTATATTTTTTTGTTTATTTATTCACATGTAGCCTACTCCTACAATCAGAAACATACACTATGTTTTAGGTGTGGGTGAGGCTTCATGGGTTCTTTAACCGGAACAGAGAAGTAAACTGAAATAAAAGCTTAATTAAATTGTGTATCGTTGCTTTTATAAGCCCGATTTCAAGATGTGTGATCATTACTTTATTATAGGTAAACTAACTATAATGAAAATTATATTTTGTTTATTTGAACTGAGAGTGAGATTGCTGTGTATACACATCGTCTCCAATAAAACATTTAAGATTTACCACCGTGTTTTAAAGCAGGAAAATAGTGGGTTTTCCAGCCCTGAGTAATGTCTACGGGACAGGCTGCATACATCGCCCACAAAGCTCTAAAAACCTAACATGAACCTGAAAGGTAAAACTCAGGGCAAAAAATGTCCACTAGACTCAGACTAAATGTTTTGTTTTCATTATAAATGTCCAGCGTTCTTGGTAAAGTGCCAACTTTTGTAAAATTATTTTTTTGTTTGTTTATGATTCAAAATGAAACATTGAGATTGTAATACAAATACATAAAATATTCCAGTTGATTTCAAGAGAAACAAATGATTTAAGGGAATAAATGAACATAATAGGGTTTTAGATTTCATTGCTTCTGATTGAGATGTGATTCATTAAATGTTCCTCCCCTTTGGAAAATATTCTGAAGGAGAATATCTTTCTCAAAAATAAACAAAATATGAAAATGACTGAACAGAATCACACTGACTTCTCCTGAGTCGTCCTGTCAGCTGCTTCTCTCTCCGTCTCTCTCGATGTGCTGGTGAAGACTCAGATATCCACGAGGTCGCTGCTCTCTTTGAGCCACCTTTGGGCAAACATTTGAATATTGAAATTCAGATGTCAAAGATGTCTATCATGGTGGATATAGGATTCATTGATGGGAAGAATATCATTTACATGTAACAGGGAAAAAAGTTGAACACACTTCCTTGTTGACTGTCTGACACACGGAAAGAAAGGTACCATTACAAAATATGCACTAATGATAACTATTGAATGTTTATATTTTTTATATTTTTGTTCGGATATTGCTTGTTACCATATGTCAAACAGCTTTAAGAGAACATTCTGGCTGTATTTGAGCACCCCATATTTCAAGTGTGTCAAAATTATTTGAATTTCAGTCACATAGTTGATTTATTCTGAAACAGCCAACAAGTCAAAAACATTATCTCTTTGTTGTCTCTATTCTTATGAGTCTGTCCATCCAGCTATTTCATTCCTGTGAATGCTATATCTCAGGAGAACGTGAGGAATTCATTCAAGTCTTGCACAATCTTCCACTTGGACTCAAGGATGAATCCATTTCTGTCACATTTTTGACCTTTTGATTGTGGTCAAAAGGTCAAAAATCTCTGTGACCTCACAAAACACGATTTTGTGGCAGTAACAAGAATTATTATGTTAACTATGACAATGTCACTCAACTTTCCGATCAGTAAATAGCAATAACCGTGCATAAACAAGATAGTTTTGGGATTAGAATTTCTCAAAACAAAGAAGACCAATTGTAAGCCACTGTGGGACACCAAAACACATTTTGAAACGACTTGATGTGGAATTATTTGAAACTACTGCCTGATTTCTACAAGAAAGATAGTGATAACAACCACTTATTTAACTGGTAATTATCTAGCTTCACAGATCATGTTTAAAGTAAAATATTAAATATAAATATACATATACATAATACAGTAGGATTACGGACTGATCCAGCCAGGCCATGTACAGAGCACTCAGTCAGTCGCTGTGTGGCACAAGAAGGCTCCCGGAAAGATAACATCACATTTACATGAACATCTAAAAACAGCACAACAAGAACAAAGACTGCTCTTACTAGACTTAGGAGGAAACATATCACAAGTCAAATGAGTGCCCGCTATGGTTTGCAGCACAGCTAAACAGACCTATCCCATATTTCCCTCCTATCTGAATAACTCTGCCATGGCAACAGTCACAGTGTCCACCTTTTTACAATTTGGCATTTCTGTTTTCATGTCCTTATTCTGATAAAGAGGCCTGAATACATGTTTCACCTGCTGTATATTTCATGTTTAATACAAAGCCTTTGACTTAACTTAAAGAGAACAAGATCAAAATATCTCACAACTTCATTCCTGTGTTCTCTTGGCACTTAAAAGCAGCCCAACTGTTAAATTATTATTCAAACCAACGTAGTGGTTTGAGATCTCCCAACATTTTTAATTATGAGCAAATGCTAATGCAAGGTTTGGTCTAGTAGTTCAAAGGAAGAGAAATCCTAACGCATACGATAACACTTGAATTAGAATTACTGCACACACAGGTACACAAACTCACACCAGAAGTAAACAGTGCTTTGTTTATGGATATCTTGCTTGTTTTTCTTATTCCACTTATATGTATACTGTACCTTTGAGTTTCAGAATACTCGTTGATCACTGAGACAATAAACCAAGAACTGGAGGACACACACACAGACACACACACACACACATGGGCGTAATTTCCACTGGGGACAGGGGGGACATGTCCCCCCCACTTTTCAAAATCCCATTTGTGTCCCCCCCCACTTTTTAAATGTGTTTATTATAATTTTTTTACGCAAGCGCTCATCGTCACGGAGGAGCGTCTGTGTGTGTGCGCCATAGACTGTATATATAAATGGACGTAGGGTCCGTGACGTCACCCATAGGATTCTGCAGAGTTGCCGAGAAGCCCTTAGTAGGCGGAGTCGGCCACTAACGGCTCGACAGTGACGTCTGAGTCTAACTCCCGCCTGCTCCAGCCTGCTCCAAATAAGGGCAAAGAGGCGGAGCCGAGGCGGGACCTTCTGCCTCCAGCTGGGAAGTAACAGAGCTAGCTCAAGCTAAGAAGCTAAGCTAACATGCTTCCCCATCAGCACACTGCCGTCACATTTTACGTTTCTAAGGTAAGCGGACATGAAACTATTCAGCAAAACGATAAATAATAATCTAAGTTATTGAGTTTTTAGCATAATACTTCAGAATCTTAAAATCCCTTAACGTTTGTATGCAATGTGCTAAATGCAACACTGGAATCAAGCAAATATTAATATGTTTGCATGACATTAGTTATTTATATTTTGCTATCACTTAATTATACGTTTAATACATTTAAATTAAGCTAAGGTGCATGTGATGGTAGCTAGTTAGTGCTCTTACCTGTGAGGCCTCCTCCAAACAGCATTATAACCAGACTGTATCATTAAAACTATAAGTACCAGTTCTAGATCCTTGACTTTAGACAAACAATTCAAAAGACAAAATGTATTTAAAGACCAATCTTTATTTGAAGGTGCCTCTTAACCTGGGATATTAGTTATACAGTAATAGTATTGACAATCTAAAAAAACTGAGCAACTCAACAGTTCACTTTTATATTTCTTATTGTCTAAAGCATTTATTATTTTCATTTTTCCCCTCTCATATTCAGTGTGGATGGATTGAGACAGCGTGGTGTCCAGAGAGCTGCAGAGACTTCAGGGAGAAACCTCCGTGTGATGGACGTCCAGTCTGTTGGTTTGGAGAGGACTGAGGGTCTTTCCTCTGTGAGGAGGACCAGGCCTGATGGAGGAGCCCATGCTGGGCATAGCTGATACCACCTGATCAGGCCTAGTCTGTCACTTTATTTGACTAAATGTGTTTACTTATACATTTAATAGGTGTACACCTTCTGTCCATATGTGCTTTTTTATTTAAAACATGTTTGATTAACTTTTGGTTCACATTTCAATAAATTGAATTTGTATTTATACTCCTTTTGTCCATTATTCTTACTGAAAATGTTAGATTACACATTCACATCCGACTGAAGATTGGCCCCATTTATTTGCGTTGCAAACTCTGCGGTACAAGGTACATGTTGTGAAGCTCATAAAGTGAGGCAAATAGAATTAATCAGCTGATGGAGTGTAGATGTGGAAATAGGTGCATTCGATCAGCTGACTTCACAATAAAAGTAGTTTCTTAGTGAATGTCCTGTACTGGTCTTAACATCTCATAACATCAGCTTTTAATTTTCCTCTTGGATGTTCTTCTTGACCCTCAGAGAAGGAGAACATGTTGAGTCGTGTCTTTCAGGCATGTCCTTTCCTAACAAAAATTACAGGAAACATAAAACATATTATTGCAGAACAAGTGTGTTATTTATGAAAGAGGTGTGTTTGTGTTTAGGGGCTGTAGATATCATTATTTTGTAATTGTAATGTTTTATTTTATTTCAACAGTGAGCTACAAAGACAATCAGATTATGAATGAACAGTATGACATTCATCAACATTGAAATATATTGTATTATCAAAATAATATTTAACTGTTATCAAAACTTAGTGCAACTGTAGAAGCTTGCTCTGTTCTCTCACTGAAATCATAACTTTTACCATGTTTTTTACAGACAATATTGAGAGATAAATAGCAGTTCTCACTAATAGCTTTGCCTTCAATACCTTAAATTAGAAAGCTGACAAAGTCATATTGCTTGTTAACATCTAAATGTAACCCTTTGCATGGAAAAAACCCTCAACTTCACTGATGTGTAGGTGATCTAGTATTTAGTATTGTTTAATGGAATGTATATCAGTGTATTAAAGTCAATACTTCATTTATTTAAACCAATATCTTTCTTGATTCTTTGTACAGTATGAAAAAAGAGTATTTGTACCTGTGCTGAAGTTCACTGCTGTGAGGAGTCCAGTTCTGTCTCTCACTCTCTGGTCCATCCTGTCTGCATCACCTGGAAACTTTAAACAAACAGATATATATGTAAAGAACCATGTGTACAAACAATATAACTTATTCTCTTCTGTTGAACATGTTGGATTGTGTATTGTCCGAGTCAGGGTTCTTTTTATTTTACTGTAACTTTGGAAGTTGTGTTACCAATGCTGTTTTGTTACTGTTTATTTGATACCAATTTGGTAATGCAATTAATAAAAACAACAACGTTTGGGTTCGTTCTTCAGATGACTGTGACGTTAATGTGTAAACTCAATAATGAACTCCAGCTCAACCAACCATATTGTAATATCTAAGTAATCATCTTGAAATATGACATTAATAATTGTAATATACATACATCTTATTGTGAGGTTGATTTCACATACACTACTTCGACGTTAGCTTGTCTACATACTTGAGCATAACTACCACTCGCTTACACGCAAACCCAAGCCTTAACATTCATTACGTAGCTGATTCAAATCATAAACACATAAATAAAGTACTCGAATTTCACTTACCGCAAAACGGCATTCATGCACCGTCTGTTTTAACCGCAGAGCGAGTCACAATAGTCCGATATATAAGCATGAAGAACAAACAAACACGGCCGGGATCAAGTTGTGTTCCCTGGATGAACTGAGCAGGCAGAGTCCCTGTAGCTTCACGGACGGAGCAGCTAGCAGAGAGACAAAAAGCTAACAGCAGCAGTCACTTGACAGAGCTGTCACTCAATGTGACCACGCCCTAATTTATGCAAAAACTTTAAGACCTAATATAAATAAAAGGGTCGCGTTAGAAAACAATTCACTCACAGATTCATAATCACGAAGGTGGAATCTAACTATATACATAATAAAATGTATTGGAGCCAGGGCTAGAAACGTTTTTTTTCTGCTGTGAAATTGGGCATTTTAACATTGGGGTCTATGGAAATTGCTCCTTTCTGCAGTCATCGCCTATCGGCCAATATATGAACTGCAGTTTGTGGCACTTCCGTATTGGCGTCCCGGCTCTTCCCCAGAGTTTGCCGCTTGGCACAGATGCACGACGCACGTTGGTGTGCGCGTGTGCGTGCGTGTGTGTG